TGAGTGAGTGAGTTGTGTTTTTTTACCATAGTTTCACTTTGAGTTTTTGAAGGTCTCAAATTTGAGTTGTTAGCTTTTAAGAAAAGATAGATTCCCCCCCCCACCCCCCTCCCGAGCTGTTCAGTCAAGCATTTCAGATATATAGATGTTAAACAAACAAACAAAAACCCCAGAGGATTAAACAGCCTGAATAAAAGTCTGCTCTACTCTCAATCAGGTTTCACTTCCATGCCATACTTAATGCCATAGTCCTCCAGTCAAAGTCATAAAATCATACAAATGTAGGACTGGAAGAGACCTTTAGCCCCCTGCAATGAGGTAGGACCAAGTAAACCTAAATGATCCCTGACAGGGTTTGTCCAATCTGTCCTCCAGAAATGGGTGATACAGTTCAGGGCTACTGCACCTGTATTTCCCCCTTGTGGTTCAGCAAGGGCATCTACTCTAGGCTTCCAGCTCCTCAGCCGTCACCTCTCTTGGGTGGAGACCCACGTCTCATTCCCTCCTGACCGGGATTTTTCCAGGCTGCACAGTTCCCTGCCTACACTGTGAGTTCCCCAACAAGCCAGGTGGCCTAACCAAGCCAGTGTCTGTGCTTTCCCTGCTCTTTGAAGGCCATGAACAACATAATTACCCATAGTTATAAGCTATCACACGGCCCTTTCTAAGCAAGCACATTTATTCTTAAGGTGAAAGTGTTATAAAGAAAACATATTAAAAACTATAAAAGAACTTATACACATGCTAATAGGCTTACCAGAGATCACCCCCAACTCCAACAAGGGCTCTGGCGGGATTCATTCCTTCAAACCCCACCAAGGAGTTTTTCTGTGGTCACAAGTTCATAACAGCTTTTGCTCAGAACAAGAACACCTATGCATGGGTTACCCTTCCTTTTGTACAGTCTGGGTCTTTGATCTGCAGATACTGTGAATAAATAATCATCCAGCCAGTGGTTCTCTCTTCAGGGTGTAGCATCAAAAGATTGGGTCCGGAGGTGGGAATTTGTATTCCCCACACCACCACCAGGTATTTCTCAAGAAACCCACTTTATTTTGTTTGTCCTGAAAGTTCCTTCTTATCTGACACATTGTTTAAAGTAGTTCTTTGAAACTCATAGTGCTTCCCAGGGTTTACACTGGCCCCAAATCTCCATGCCCTGGAGAAGCTACATCTAAAAAGTAACTATAATTCATAAACTTTGCCTTTATAATACAATAGACTCCAAAGCTATTTAAACTTAATTCAACAAGATTTTCCAAAATTATTGCAGGAAATTGCTGTATTTGTCACAATGGAGAGTCCACAACCTGCCTTAGAAGCCTGTTCTAGAGATTGCTGCAGATTAAGCCCATTACTTCTTGTCCTACCTTCAGTGGACATGGAGAATAATTGGTCCCTGTCCTTTTTATATAATCTTTAATATATTTGAAGACTGTCATCAGGTCCCTCTGTCTTCTTTTCTCAAGGCTAAACATGCCAATTTTTTTAACCTTTCCTTATAGGTCAGGTTTTCTAAATCCTTTGTCACTTTTTTTGTTCTCAGTTGGACTCTCTCCGATTTTGCCACATCTTTCCTAAAGTGTGGCACCCAGAATTGGACACACTCCACCTGAGGACTCACTGATGGCAAATAGAGTGGGATGGTTACTTCCCAGGTCTTATATGTGACACTCTTGTTGTGAACTCCTAGAATGATATTAGCCTTTTTTAGCAACTGCATCATATTTTTGAGTCATATTCAATTTCTGATTCACCACAACACGCAGCTCCTTTTTGTTAATATTACCGCCTAACCCATTATTCCCCATTTTGTAGTTGTGTATTTGATTTGTCCCTCCAAAGTGTAGTAGTGTCTTACAGAGGAAACAAGGTAGACAAGACCTGAATTTCTAATGTACCAAAACAAACAAACTAACAAACCCCACAACAGAAATTTGGGGGAGGGTAATGAAGGTTTGTTTTAGAGAGACCATACAACCTGATTTTACCAGGTCTGTCCTGGTTTTTCAAACGATGTCTGGACTTGTCTTTATAGCAAAAATAGTTTGAGTGTTGCTGCTACTTTGAGTCCCATCCCCCATCACACACACACAAAAAGCATGGGGTGTTGCTTTTATCTTGAGTTGACTGGCCTGTCAGGGGGAATAGGCTATAGCTCAGTTTAGACAACTCATCAGCTGCTAACACAACCACCCTGAAGTGTGGATGCAGGGTAACTCCACTTGAGTGCCACTAGTCCTCCATTGCATTCCAACAGTTCCGCCTGTGTGCCCGCAAAGGAAAAACCAGTTCTTCCACTTCCTCATTGAAAAAGAATGCATTAGAGTGGTTCAGCTTGCTGCAGCAGCAAGAAACAATGGGATATGCCTCCACAAGTCTTAGTGCCGCACATAAATGAGTGCAGCGCCAGCGTGGACACAGCAGATGAAGTATTATTTCGCAGGGTGAATGCTCTCACTTGAGCTAGGCTAACTCAAGAGAAGTAACTCATGTGTAGATAACTTGAATTAGCTCTGTTGAAGTCATAGCCTCTGTGTCCTTCAGGCTTTTATTGGGAGGCCTAAAATGTCCTGTTTTTTCATTTCACCAGTCAAAATAAGTAGTAGGTACAAAATGCTTGTTCAGGATGTGTTGCTACAATGTTATGAAGCGTTGCGTACACTCCTGTTTCATTTTCTTGTACAGTGCATGCGAGCTTCATACCAACCCTGGTTGAAGGCCAAATCTTGTCATAATTTGTCAGGTGACAACACTGCAATAGGAGTCTGTTGATGACCCAGTCTAGTCAGCACAAACTTTCTGCTCCAGGCCTTTGCAGAAGGAGCTGGGGGTAAAAATTCGCCACTTCAGGAAATAGACATGTGTTGTTCTTGAGTAGGGAGCTAGCCATGTACATTTTACAAAAGTCAAAACCAATGTTCTTTGCCATCCTGTCCTGGCCGTGTGGTGCATTGTATGAAGCGTTCCACTTTCCTCTACTGAACACCTGTTACAGATTCACTGTTATTCCCAACATAGTTATCTCTAACCTTTTCTACCATATTGTCATGCACAGTAAAAAGAACAACATAGTTTGCTCTGGCTTTATAAATGAATATGTTAGAACTTCTTAAGAAGTATTATTTAATAGAATGTGGTTTTTGTTTCTCTGACCAGAACAGCTGAAGACCTGAAAGGAAATTGATAGAGACAAATCTCAGAGAATTTACGATGATTAGGCTGCATATAGCTTAGATCCAAGAGGTCCCAATTTAATAAGGGAATCTCTGCTAGCAGAAACATGCCTATTCTTCAGCTGTCTATGTGCCTATTCTTCAATTTTCCCTGGTGGTGCTAAAAGAATATCATAGAAGTTAATGGATAATAGTACAAGTTAGCAAGATAACCAAGTTAGCACATAACGGTACAATTTTACTCCCTCTTTGAGCACAAATGCTTTTAAAAGAAAATCACTTAGGCCCCAGTTCAGCTAGGTACTTAAGCATGTATCTAAATTTAAACACTTGAGAAGTTAATGAGACTAATTATACTTAAAGTTAAATACATGCCTTAGCATCGTCCTGAACCAGGACCTTAATATGAGTGAACAAAGTAGCACAATAGAAACTGAATTTCATTCATTCCAGTACAGTTACCGGACAATGCACAGTTGTAAAGGATTTAGAATTTTAAAATTTTACTGTTGAAATTACCTTGATACCTGTAAATGTCATATTTTTTTCTTTCTCTTGTTTTCAGCTGTGGGATCTACTGCAAAAATTACAGTTTGTTATGACATACATTGCTCCCTGGCAGATTGCGTGGGGATCTTCATTTCACGTGTTCGCTCAGCTCTTCTCAATACCTCATATCCTTTACAGATTTTTTGTTTGTTTTTTGTTTTTTTTGTTTACTCCCAGTTTCACTGTTCATGTATGTACAGGGTTTGAACAAAGAGAGTAACATTTAATAATTAATTACATTTAATAAAAAACTGAAAATATTTTACACTGATTCTGGGATACCATGTTACTTCTAATTATGTCTCTTTAGACAGAGGGGACCCAGTTTTTCTCTGTTATTTGGATTCAGCTATTGACTGCATTAAGAATTGCAACTGGGGAATTGAGCAGAATTTGGACCAGGATGTTTAACGCTATTTCCTTCTTCCCCATTCATATTCAGCTAATTCTCTTTTCTTATAATTTTCTCTCTCGTCCCAGCATAAAACTTAGCGTGTCTTGTGTAGAAAAAGTATTCTCAGTACAATTCCTCCATCTTAGGTAGACTGTCTTCTTTAGAATGCTGTTCTTGTGGGGTGCTGAGCATCCTCTTAACAGCTAGCCCTGGCTAATGCCTGAATGCAGGGATTTGCTTCATCTGGTTTTTCCCTGTTGCATCCTTCTAAATTTTTCCCAGCTTAATTGTAGTCTGACTTTGATTTTCTTTTTATACTAATTTTCCATTGAGAGGGTTGGGAAGTTTCCTCCTTTTAAAATTTTCCACTTTTGGTTCTGACATGAAATGTCGTAGGATAGCTGGAAACATACTTACAATAGCCCTCAAAAGGAAAGATTCCAAAAACACATTATTAACAAAAGTTAATAGTAAAAGTAAAGTTGGCTCCAACCAATTTTGAAGCAGTAGGCGTAGCAAGAGCTATCATCAAAATCCACAGTCTGTATTAATTTGAGTCCCTATTTTTATCTAGGAATTGCAATTAAATAGTTTATTTAAAGTTATTTAGCAGAACATTTCAAAACTGAAGATTATACTTTAACAAGATTTCTCTTCAAATGCAATTATTTTGTAGTGACAGTAACTTTAATGTTAATAAAATCCCTAAGTAGGATTTTTTTCAAAAGTAAGGCGGTTACTGAATAGGATTTAGTTGATTTATGTAGTTATTGTTGAAGTACATTTAGACTGGGTATCTATTATTTAAGTTAACGATATCCTTGTTAAATGCAAAACAGTATCTTAATGTAATGTTATGGTTAAGAATTCACATGAAAAAGTTACTGTTCCCACAGCAACAATAACTCTGTCCTTTTGTATATAAGCATGGAATTTTCTATTAACTTTTATGCATCATCCCCATTAAAAATAATGCAAAAATGCTACATATGCACAAAAGAGCCAAATTACAGTATGGTTGATCTGGGAACCATAACTTGGAATTGACTACATTATGTTCAGGTAAATTCCCAATGGTAATGTTACATTAACATAATATCTTTCATTTAAAAAAAAAACAGAAAAAACCCAGTGAGAGATCACACAGTAAACCAAACATAACATGCATTTATTTTAATGTTCTTGCTTGTATATGTAAAGAGGCATTCAAATGAACACACTAAGGACCAATGGGATTTGTTGTATGCTTGATGTAAGCAGGATTTGGTTTTCAAAGGTATACAGGTTTGTGGTATACAGTAATCATTTTGAAACTTGCCCATTTTCTATGTCCTGACCCTTAAAACGAGAAGACCAGTAGTGACACTTATTTCCATCATCATATTAAAAGTGCTTTCTTAACATTTTTATTTGCATTGTGGAACCTTTTCCACATAACTTAATATAGTAAATACTTTTCCTCCCATGCTATGAACCATTGTAACAACATTACCTGTGAAGATAATGCAATCATCTCACTGCTTTTATTATGTATATAATTTATACAACAACTACAAGTGAACAAATTGTTTTTGGAATTTGTTGGGAGTATGAGAGTTATAGAGCAGGGCCAACCCCGCAAACGGTTACTAATGAATGTAGGGTAACATTTTCAAAAGCATCTAAGTGACTTAAGAGCCTAAAATGGTTTTAGTTTCCTTTGTACATAAAACTAGAGAATATGACTGTACTCCATAAATTCCAACCTCATTATTGACATTAATATAATTAGAAGTCCATGGGAGCTTTACGTAAATAAAATGGCTGTGGGATCAAGAGCAGAATTATTAGTATTTCAGATTACAGTTTCAGATGTGCCACCACTGCTGCCTTGTGATTCCTGCACTCAGGGCCGGCTCCAGCATTTCTGCCGCCCCAAGCATTAAAAAAAAAAAAAAAAGCCACGATCGGCGGCAGCAATTAGGAAAAAAAAAAGCCATGATCGGCGGCGGCAGTTCAGCAACAAGTCCTTTGCTCCTAGAGGGAGTGAGGGACCTGCCGCCCCGAATTGCCGCAGGTGCTGCCCCTCTCCCTTGGCCGCCCCAAGCACCTGCTTGTTAAGCTGGTGCCTGGAGCCGGCCTTGCCTGCACTGATATCAGAGAAGGAAGCCAAAAGCACCCATCTGCCCCATCTCCTTTTTCCAATTGCTGTCACCCAGAGACCTGTGACTCCAGCGCTGATCTCAGAAGGAAGCCTTTAAGACTCAGGTTGTGTGTATGGGTTGGAAGAGATGGAATCTAACCAAAGCCCAACATATCATGGGCTGTAGTGCAACACCTCAGCAGTCTCTATTCCAGCCTTCAATATATGCATGGAGATGAAAACCTATTTATAATAACCGCTCCATGACCACTCTGTAAGATTTCACAACTACTGGTTCTGGCAAAACTTGGATCCAGTTGCCCTCTCCCTTAGCCAGTTTGAGTCTTCTCTTCCATGCTGCCCTAAAAGAAAACACGCAGGTTTTTGTGGGAATTTGTGTTGGCCTGCTAAACCCAGGGTTGTGAGTTCAGTCCTTGAGGGGGCCACTTAGGGATCTGGGGCAAAAATCAGTATTTGGTCCTGCTAGTGAAGGCAGGGGGCTGGACTCGATGACCCTTCGGGGTCCCTTCCAGTTCTATGAGATAGGTATAGGTAATTTAATCTGTTTTGTCCATCTTTGCCCCCTGTGGGCATATTATGGATGTTCTGTAGCATAGAGGGTCTTGTGTGTGCCTTCTACCAAGGGATGAATTCTGCTCATACAGCAGTCATAAAGAAGATGGTGCACAGGGAAAATTAACTGAAACATAATATGGGAAAGTAAGCTTTTAAATTCAGGGTAATAAAAGTGCTATAATACCATAGTATCATAATAATACTTGAACATAATCAGTGCATTGCTACCAAACATAAGAGAACCTAATAAAAATACGTCAGTTGCTCTGAGTTAAAAGTATCTGATCACAGACAAAAATAATTACCCACACTACACATCAAAGTGAGGTAAGAAATATTTAGAAATGACCTTAATTAGAAAATTATTTATCATGTTCCATTAATATTCATGACACTTTACAATAGCTAAAGTATGTGCAACAAAACAAATTCCCTGTCCTGAAATTTGGAAAACGTAAAGCATGTAGGATACAAATATTATCAGAAGATCCCAAAATTTAAAGAAAGAGGGCATGGTCCTGTTACCTGCTCCTATGATCTGTTTATGTATGTGACACTCTGAATTAAAACCACTTTCCAAAAGTCAAATGAGAATTGTCTTCCAAGTGACATATAATAATCATTATGTCATTTGGCTTGAAGAGAACCCAAAGGTTGCTATTGTTTGAGCTGTACATTTAATGTAAACATTTCACAGTGAAATCCCAAAAGTCTTAGATCATCATGTTGACTGTTTTTATGTTAATTACTTTGACGCAGTCTTTAGAAAACTGTCATTATCTGTGCTCCTTGTTTTCCTCCCATCTTTTCAGCTCCTCTGATCACTTAGCTTATTTGACACTTGCAAATAATTCTTTCTCTTTCAGAACCAGTATGGGTTATGATTCAGTGTAATATGACAATTGAAGTTTGCTGACAAACTTTTGCCCTTCTGTATGTTCTCTCTGATGGTTTTCGAACTTTTAGCCTCTTAGGGCAGCTCAGTTTGCAAACTCACTAATGCACTCAGACACCATTCCAGATCACTCTCTTTTAATAAGTTTAAGGATTTTCAATGATCGCTTTTGCTAAATATTTGTTCGTAAATGCTGCATATTGCTTCCAAAGCTTGGCTAATAAACTTTTAGTGGGAAAACTGCAATGTGAATATTTTTCAGTTTTAAAATAAAATATGCATTACAAATTGAGCTTTAGTTTCTCAAAGATTGTAGAATCTATATACTGGACATTATTAGAATAGGCTGAATCAAAAGACTATTGCTCTTGAGTGATTGGACCTTAATTCTGGTTTCAGAGAGGCACCATTGGTGATATAATCCTAGTACTTTGATACTTGCCCAGCAGCTGTATGATTCTTTATAAAATACCTTTTTTCCCAAGTAAGGGTACGTCTTCACTTACCGGAGGGTCCGGCAGCAGGCAATCGATGTTCTGAGATCGATCCCGGAAGTGCTCGCCGTCGACGCCGGTACTCCAGCTTGGCGAGAGGAGTACGCGGCATCGACGGGGGAGCCTCCCTGCTGCGTCTGGACCCGCGGTAAGTTCGGACTAAGGTACTTCGAATTCAGCTACATTATTAACGTAGCTGAATTTGCGTACCTTAGTCCGAAGTGGGGGCTTAGTGGGGACCAGGCCTAAGGTATAAAACAGGATAATTGAATCTGTCATGCCAACAGGCTGCATGTAGGGTTCTCTCCAGAAATTCAAGGGCCTGGTGTAACTAAAATGAGAATTTGTTCCCACGTCTTTTAAATCACGCTGCTGTTACATCTTTCTTTATATATTTATCCACCTCTTCATTGTGTTTCCTAGACTCGTTTTCAACGCATCTAGAATGTATAATATAATAATCATTTTTAAAGTAGTAAACCATGAATACATGCATGCACCAGGATGTTTACCTATGTTACTTCCCCTGCACTCTTCTTCCCACTTTGTGGACAGTTCAATGAATATGATACACCTCTACCCCGCTATAACGCGGTCGTGGAGAGCGAAAAATCCCTACTGCGTTATAGGTGGGTAGCGGCGGCAGGGCTACCCTACCCCTGTTATATTGGGGTAGCGGCGGCAGGGCTCCGGTGGTGATTTAAAGAGCTCTGGGCTCCGGCTGCTGCGGGAGCCCCAGGCCCTTTAAATCGCCGGCGGAGCCCCGCTGCCGCAGCACTGGGATAGGGGCGGCAGGGCTCCAGCAGTGATTTAAAGGGCCCTGGGCTCCCCGCAGCAGCTGGAGCCCCTTTAAAGCGCCGCCGGAGCCCCGCTGCTACCGTGCTATAGGCGAACCCGTGTCAGGTCGCGTTATAGTGGGGTAGAGGTGTATGTAGAAGATTTTTACTAGGCAATCAGTATGTGATCATAAATATCTGATGAAAGCTAGGGTGAGTTCCACTTGTTGGAAAGACTCATTTCAAACCAGCAGTTTTGATGATATATCCATGCTCTTGGGGGTGGGAAAAACATGGTTAAATTCTTGACCCATTGATACCAGTTGCAAAACTCCCATTGACTTCAGTGGGCTCAGGATTTCACTCAAAGTGATTAAGGATAAGAGATCTTTGTGCCAGATCCTCTGGTTCACAAAGGCAGTTATATACATGGCATTAAAGCAGCTGGAGAAGGCTGGTAGAGAACCTCCCCACCTCCCCACCTCCACCCCTGGAACAGGGAAACTCTGGCAGAAATCTGAGAGAGGTGGCTTTGCTGCCAGCCATTCTGCCCTGCAACTTGTTCACCTAAACATGTGGCCCTCATTATTAGAACGATTTAAGTTTGAACAGCTACTGTCCTCATCTTAATAATTAGTCCTGTTGTGTATGACTTCAGAGCTTCCCCCCCGACCTTGGAAAAAATGATAAAAATAAAATAGCTTAGGAGCTGTCTGAAGAACGATTTAAAAGTGTGATGAAATCATTCATGTTACCTTAACTTGAACTTTTCAGACTCTGCTATGCTTTTTTTTCAAACTCTGGCCACTTCGATCTTTTCTACACCACTGAGTCCATTTCTTGGTAGTGTCATTTTTATCACATCATATGCCAGACCGGTCAAGTTCTGGGAGAAAAACTACAAGTAAGACCATTAAAGTTTTGTACACCTATTATTTGGAATGTTTTGTGCTTACTAGTTTCATTTCTGCCGTTTTTGTTTTTAAAAGATAATTCTACATGTTGCTCTAGGGTATGAGAATAACCTTTTTGTTAAGGTCTTGGTCCTACTGTATTAATATTTTGTACTTTCTCAGTTATTTATTAAAATGTACTTAAATAATTATCAGTCTCTTACATACGATATGTCATATCACATTTACTGTACAGACAGACAGCAACAAAGCTATGGAAATCATAAGTGTCCTTTATTTTTTTAGTAGCTAGTGTTAGCAAATTTTTACCAGTTTGCAGATGGTGGGGCGCTCTCAGCACTAAATGTGAATGGGCAAACTGATGAGTCTGATGCAATGATTTTTAACAGGTAATCTTTCATAGATATTGATATCATGTTTGGTTGGTTTTGACTGTAGTTTTCTGTCTTCTAGTTGGACAAGAAAATGAACTTAAGAACATAGAAATTATTGAATAATGACTCTGTACATTTTATTTTAGTGCCTTTTTGTCTAGTAGGATCTCAAAGCAGTTTACAGACTATATATAGTTTTTTCATCCACTTTTATATGCAGCCAGCTTTGGAGTAAAATATTGCAGCTGTTGAACACAGTAGTTTAGGACAGGCAGTGAAGAATGTAAGCCAAAATAGGAGTTGGCCAGACCAACAAGAAGTGAAACACACTTTGTGCGTCTGCTGCACATACATGGCCTCACATCAGTATGATATCTGAGCACCTCCCAAGCAGGGCCGCCCCAAGCAGCCAAAAAAAAAAAAAAAGACCGCGATCGCGATCTGCGGCAGCAATTCGGCGGGAGGTCCTTCATTCCCAGGCGGAGTGAGGGACCATCCGCCGAATTGCCGCCGAATACCTGGACGTGCCGCCCCTCTCCGGAGCGGCTGCCCCAAGCACCTGCTTGAGAAGCTGGTGCCTGGAGCCGGCCCTGCTCCCAAGTATTTAAATATAGAAATAACTATCTCTTTTTCTTGCTTTCCAGCCTGTAGGAGAAGTAGTGTGATTAGTCTGTAGATTTTTCTGTTAGGTTGGTTTTGGTTTGTGGGAGTGAGTGGATGGGTATGAATGCATGGGCATGAAGAAATGAATAAATGAAGAATATTATGAAGTCAAATAAACAGGGTTTGTATTTATTTCCACAAATTATTAGTTTTTTTGTTATCTTTTGTGGAGGGGAGGGGGTCCAGCTCTTGTGAAAGTTCTGTCTCGTGCTCTCACAAGCATCCCTTAGTTTAATTGCTCTAGAATCTAATGGAATGTAGCTTTTATGTGAGGTGATAGAAGTGGAAGGAGAGAGAACCTCTCAGGTAGCTAGAGTGCAAGTGCATGGAGTGGAGAACTGAGGCGATCAGTTCATGGGGTCCTGTGTTGCTAAACAGAAGGACTGCTGTATTTTATGTCAGCTGGAGTTTTTTGAGGGCATGTGGCTTCTTTCCTAGAGATGAGTTACAGAATCAAACATGGAAGTCATGAATGCATGGGGCACATCGTGCCAGTCCTAACGGTCAGAGATCAAGATATCTTCAGGTTATTCCTAGGTGGAAGTGGGTGGTTTTGGTTTGGTTTAGTTTGATTTTTTTCATTAAAAGGAGTTAAGGCCAAAATGTTTAAACTTGGATGCCTGATGTTAGGCACCTAAATCCATGTTTAGGTGCCTGAATAATTAGACTGATTGTGAAAGAGACTGAGCACCTACCAGCTCCCCTTAAAATCAGTGGGAGCTGCAGCTGCTCGTCATCTCTGAAAATCAAGCCACTTATTTAGGCACCTAACATTCGGCTCCCCAATTTGAAAATCTTGGGGTAGACCTTTTAATATTTAATTCCAGTGCCCTTTCTCTCTTATTCAAAATAAATAATCAATAAATATATTCTAGTTTTGAAGATACACACAAACTTTAGGTTCTTTATGAAAACTGGGGAGAGGAGGGGGGAAGATTGGCTTTGAGCAACATTAACATCTGTCATTAAATTTTCAGTCTAACCCTTTGATAATTGGACTGAGTGCTTGCCTAGTACTTTCTTTCTCATGTATTTAAAACACTTGTTTCTGTTTGTCATTAATTTCCGTTTTCATCTTAGTTATTACTTTTGCCTCCCTAGTTCATTTTCCCCCTTACTCCTTGTGTTTGTGTTTTGCATATCCTTGTTCAGTGACATTTTATATTCCCAAGCAAATGGCTCTGTCTTCCTAAGTAATTTTCAGACCTATGCTGCCACTTTTGCTTGCATTGAGTAGTACCTTACTCCATAAGTATTCCAACTGAAATCATTGGGAGTACTCATGGACTAAAGCAATACTCTATGAAGTCATTTTTACTCATTACACAAATGGCACACATATGGCAGTTCTTTTAAGCATCCTGCATTTTTTTAGTGCCCTTCTGTAGTTCTTCCTTTGCTTACTAATTCACCCCACATGTAGCATATACTAATGCTATGTATTCAAAGGGTCAGATCCTTAGCTGGTGTATATTCTCATAGTTCCACTGAAGTCAATGGAACTGTGACAGTTTATGCCTCCTGGGATCGGTCCCTACCTTTCTCAAAGTTTGTCATTCAGAATTTTTTAAAGATTTTGTCTTTCTTAAAGTTGTTCATGTTTTGAAGACCATATTCTTTTGCCAAATTTGTTACGCACTAGAAAATGTGGTATGGTTCCTTGCTTCCTTTTCACCTTTCTTTAATATGGACATGAAAAAGCAGTCTTGCAGAAGATTCTGATAGCCATCCAAGTGAAATAAACATTTGCCTGAACATGTGGTAGCCTGTAAAACTTATATATAATCACCTTACATGCATCTATATTCATTTTGTCATTAGCACTTCTGGTTCTGATTCTACTTTTCTTCATTTTCACGTCAATCTTTTATTGTTTTCATGAATAGTAGAGCTTTCTAAGCAGAGTGAGAGTTTGAATTTAGAAGTTCCTGAGGGCCTTAAAGAAACATTCTCAGATAAAAATTGGGCACAATATTATATTAAAAGTAGAGTAGTATACAGTACTGGGATGAGGATAATCAGAAAGTGTCAAACCAATACTGCTTTAGGGTCTGATCCTGCAAAACATTACTTACATGAGCAGTCCTTCCTCACAAACTGTCCTATTGAAGTCAGTGAGACTAATCTACATTCTTAAGCTCCTTGGTAGGAAAATATCTATTGTAGTAGATACTAGGGATTGCTCCATGAATGGGTCTGCCTAATGCAGAGAAAGTTAAAAAATCAAAAGGATTGCATTTTGATGCATTAAGGGATAGAAAATCTTATGAGGATATTAGAACAAAAGACGCAGGAAGTTGAATTGGACTGGAACGTTGTTCTAGCACCTCCCAAATCCCTTCTTAGGGTGTGCAGAAGAATGCAAACTATCATAGAATCATAGAAGATTAGGGTTGGAAGAGACCTCAGGAGGTCATCTAGTCCAATCCCCTGCTCAAAGCAGGACCAATACCAACTAAATCATCCCAGCCAAGGCTTTGACAAGCCGGGCCCTTAAAAGACTCTAAGGACGGAGATTCCACCACCTCCCTAGGTAACCCATTCCAGTGCTTCACCACCCTCCTAGTGAAATAGTGTTTCCTAATATCCAACCTAGACCTCCCCCACTGCAACTTGAGACCATTGCTCCTTGTTCTGTCATCTGCCACCACCGAGAACAGCCTAGGACCATCCTCTTTGGAATCCCCCCAGCCCTGCAGGTAGTTGAAGGCTGCTATCAAATCCCCCCCTCACTCTTCTCTACTGCAGACTAAACAAGCCCAATTCCCTCAGCCTCTCCTCGTAAGTCATGTGCCCCAGCCCCCTAATCATTTTCGTTGCCCTCTCACTGGACTCTCTCCAATTTGTCCACATCCCTTCTGTAGTGGAGGGGACCAAAACTAGATGCAATACTCCAGGTGTGACCTCACCAGTGCCGAATAGAGGGGAATAATCACTTCCCTCGATCTGCTGGCAATGTTCCTATGAATACAGCCCAATATGCCATTGACCTTCTTGGCAATAAGGGCACACTGCTGACTCATATCCAGCTTCTCGTTCACTGTATCCCCAGGTCCTTTTCTGCAGAACTGCTGCTTAGCTAGTCAGTCCCCAGCCTGTAGCGATGCATGGGATTCTTCCTTCCTAAGTGCAAAACTCTGCACTTGTCCTTGTTGAACCTCATCAGATTTTTTTTTGGCCCAATCCTCCAATTTGTCTAGGCCAAGTTTACATACATTGATAGCTAATATTTGTTAACAGGTAAATGGGTAGATACACAGGCAGATTTTGCAGGAATTGGCATTTCATAGCTAGATATGGAGTTAGTTGAGGAAGAATCATTTTGTCCAGTAGTTTTTGTAAGGGAGAGCCATAGGTGCATATGTGTAAAGCTTTGAGTACTGTTATTATGTTGATGATGCATTAGGATGGATGGAAGGGGGATGATGACAGAGAACTGATGACCAGAAGGAAGAGAGTCTCAAGGTAACCAGTCTGGGTAGCAAGCAACTTCTCCAACTCTTCAGTGGAGTGCAGTTTGGCTATCTCTTTACCCTGCTCCTACATGCAGTAGCTTCTTTATACCAAGTCCTGCATTTCCACTGTGTCTTCTAATCCTTCCATTTCTGCTTAGACAGGAAAAATTTAATCCCTCAAGTCTAGACTTTGGCAACAGACCCTCCCACTTCTTTGGGCAGCAGAGTAGGGAGCTGGCAGTGCGAGACATGGAATTAGGCCAATAATTTGTTTTTTAAATTGGGATGGAGGCACGTAACTGGGTAAAGAAGTGTTAAGGGAGCTATGTCCCATTTTTTCCCATCAGCTGTACCAGTAAGCAAAACCTAAAAGTATTGGCACATTCTTCGGGGCAGGGACTAGGTGTTGCTTTTGCGTGCCCTTATGGGTCTGCACAGCACTTAGCATATTGTGTGTAGTACAGGAACAGAATATGATAGTTGCTTGTAATAAAAATG